TTATAACCTAGATTGGAATTTTGCAAGAACGTATCATGGTTATGATGCAATTGAGACCTGCATTCTGATTCCAAGAGGTATCCTCTGTGTAATTTCTTGCAATGAACTGTCAAGTTATGCAAATTGTGCCAGTGGTACGACCGGGTAAAATTTGGTATGCTGGGTAGGTAATATACTCTCGTATGTTCCTTCAAATAGAAATCTACTTTTGGAGATGCAAATATTGTCCATGCAAACACTTACCTGTCACCATGCATTCCTATAATAATACATAGAGTACAATTATGAGCTATGTGTTATAACTGAGGATTTTGAATAGAGGTGGTGTATAAAACATGTTTTGAGCTGATGACGTAATTACCTTTCCTTCACAAATGAGTTGGAAAATTATTTTTAGGTTCCATTCGTAATGTCTATATTTAAATACCTAACCTTAGATAAATATTGTTCACAGCTATAAATATTTTATTATCAATTTTATGCCTTATCTATTCTAATTTTAGAATTGGATTAACCGAAATCTGTAGATAAGAGTGTTATTTATCTTGAATGACGAACATCTGGATCATGATAATTTGTGTAGCTGGGTGATGAAATATTTTAGTTAGGACATTTGTGGTATACATATACCTACAATACCTACAAACACTATATAGTCTAATTATCTAGATACTGAAAATAATAATTAAAATCTCAAATAACATACTTACTCGACATAGGAATGAAACTTAAGAACTTTTGCTTATTAATCTCTCCAACAACCATTCGACCATTGTTACGTAATATTATCCATGGAAGAAAATCATGACACTATTCAAAAACCGCCTTCAAAATTATACGTAACTTTAAATTTACTTACAACAATTGTACCCTTTGACAATGCTCATGGGAGCAAGGTTTTCTAAAACAAAGTAGCAGAGAACAAAGTTCATTACGTTCCCGAGAAAACATAACACAATAGTCAAAGTTGAGTTACAATTTAAAAAGAAAATCTTGTTTCGTTGTCAGGAGACTTTTTTCGAACAAATGCAATCTTAGAAGCGTATCAAAGTTTGTCTCCGTCTTCTTTCGAAGTAAATTAACTTACAACTGAGTATTTTGTGGAGATAACAAGGATAGGGTTGTGTATGTATAGTACAGTAGATCGTTGGATGGTAGATTTTTATTTGTTGAGAATTCTTGTTTATTTTGCATGCTTTTAATCTGTCAAACACCGAGCGGTCACCGGTGACCGCGACCTATTGTTCTTTAATTGTGTCTATAAAACCGGTACTCGACGAGTTAAGTGCGTTTAAGTGTGTCGACCAGCGTGATACCACGGCCTCACAGAAAACCGACGTGAACTATGTGACGTTTCGCTGTATGAGTGAGGTTGCCGGCCCAATCACCCTTCCCCCCCAAACGCTCGAATCCACGAATCCCCAAAAATCCTCAAATCCCTTTTCACCAAAAGACCGGTAACACACTTGTAATGCCTGTAGTGGTCCGGGTGTACATAGGCGATGCCGATTGCTTACCATCAGGTGATCCGTCTGCTCGTTTACTGGCTTATGCTATAAAAATTGCTTTTAAATTTAATCGTATCAACTACGATTTACACTTTCGTAATTTAGCTTGAAAGACTTTAAATTCCGCGTGAATTAAAAACGAAATCTTCTGGCATTTCATAAGTGAAAATGTCGGATGTCCAATCGATGGAATTGCTTTATTGTTTTCGGGATGAAAGGACCACCTAAAATCATATTGTGATTGAAATACTTTCTTGACACGGTAAGCAGCGACCTCGTGATGTTTACCGTAAAGGCAGTCTGTTAACTTTATTCGCACCGACGGTAGAAGAAAACAAAATAGTCTCAATACTAAATACACAAATACAAAAATCCTCAAACAAACACAGTTTTATAAATAAGAAATCAACCCTTTTTCTCTGCGATTGTGTAACTCGTACACAAGGTTTTGAAGGCTTGTCTGCTTGTCAGTTACACGTATCATCCAAAATACGTAAGTAGGTAAAGATGTTGAATTATTCCTTCCATAAAATCTTTTCTTCGAGAATAAACAATGTCTGATGTTTGAATGTGATTTGTTTTTTGTTGTACGTTGTCTTTGTGTTCAAGAAAAATTTTGATAGAGAGGAAAAAACTGGCGGTTGTGCCAGTCAGTCAGTTGAATTGTGGCTGTAGAATTCTCACTCTATAGGTATGTGTGGCCTAGTGTCCTGATTTCCTTGTATGTTGGGTCATTATAATTATGCTTCCAATTCCAAGTCAGATAAAGAACTCCTGTTAACTACATGTTTAAAGGTAGGTAGCTAATTTAAATTGTAGTGCTTTACAAAAATATTCAATTTATCTAAACAGCACATTGCGAAGGTGATGTCAACTTAACGATAATGTCACGATACCATAACTAAACATTAGAAAAGGGTAAGTATTAAATCTTTTTTGGACGACACAACAAAAAGCAAATGCCTATGGATAAACAAAATGATAAAATGAACTTGTGCTGGCTCACACTATGTGCAAGTTCGAGTGTTGAATTATTAATACGATTGAACACGGGGTTGTTTGATTTGATACCTGTTTTGAAGATACGGTCGGATTACAGAAACGTGTAGTGTGTTCAACGAACCGATGATATAAGCTGGTTGTTAGAGGTGCTAAGGATGAGACTTGAGAGACGCAGAGCGGAATGAACAAAGAAACAGGAGACATGAAATAAATACCAATATTTAACATCAGATTTTTGAATATGTAACTGTAGAAAGAGTGTGAGAAGAAGCTTGTAAGTACTAGTGCAATCACTTTATTGTTAGTCCCATGTAAGTATAGGGAACCATTTGTAAGTTATATTGTAACTTTTTACAAATACAAATAAAATGATTATTTTACAATTTTATAAAAAAAAAGGTAAAAATGAAATAGAAGTACCAAGAGGATAGAAATGAGTGTACAGAAATTGTGTTTACGATCACTACAGAAATAGCGCTAACGTTTTATTTTTTAGTACAAAAAATATATTTTCTCTTCGCTTCGCTTCGTTTTGCTCCTCGGTGCTTCACTGAAGTATCAGTCTAACATCGAAAACTACGGGAAAAAGGTGTTACAATTTTTTTGGGATAGTTTTCGCGTCAGTGCGCGCAGTGTTTTGTCGATTGTAACAAAAAAGGGGTGATTTTGTTTCTTTCCGCTTTGCATTTTTTTATGTCGCAATTTAAGTGAGAAATTCTTTGTCCTTCGCTGGGATCGGATTTGGCTGCCGTTTGTTGTTCGAAATACGTGTTCGATTTCCATTTATTTTCGCTGTTCAATTTGTACGTTTTTGCTATAGGAACATCAAATGTAGCATTTCATACTATATTATTCCGGAGACTGTTTTGCGCCTTTGATATATTTTGCGATAACTCTAAAAACTTTTATGAAAATATAAGTCATTTTCACAAACTTGGGAGATCAATAGTCACTCTGAAGATCAGTAGGTAAATCTATTAAACCTTAATAAAATAACTGGTTGAAATCCATTGAGCAGTAAAGTAAGGATACGAAAAAACCTCATTAACAACACTGACCTGTAATCTTCCATAATGGCAGATAGTCTCATCTATTTCTCATTCTCATAAACATTCACAAAGAGTACCAACGTAATGGGTTATGAGTCGCCATATTGTGTATTCATAAGATAATGTCTGTTGTTGACATCTGTATAATTACTGCTGGCCACGACTGTACTTGTTGGAGCTCTGTATTTATTATTTGATGGTGAATATTTTTTTTCATAAATAAGCTTGAGCCGGCTAAGAGATTTCTGGTTCGATCCAGGGTCGGGCAAAGTATTACTCGGTTTTAAAAAAAAAAACAGTAGTAGCACGGAGTCTGGAATTGTCCGGTATATGGCAATAGGCTTATGCCCTATTACTACTTATAACATAAATAGTGAAAAGTGGGTCTACCATTGTACAGTGGCATTAAGTGCCGTAATGTGCACTTCTCCCTATCCCTTCGAGGATAAAAGGCGTGATGTTGTGTTATGTTTTCCAAATTGTCAATGTATCACTAAAAGAGATATAAAACCACTTCAACTAAAGCAATAGCCCAACAATTAACTTTGAATCTTAATTTCCTAGGATTACAGTCTAAAACCAGATGTTACTATATAGACTAGTTACCATAGAACAAACTTTTAAACATGTATAAAGAGTCTGCGCATCAGTTTGTAGTTTCCTTGAACGTTTAGCAGATAAATGGCAGCGTGCATTCTGTCGTTAATTGCGTCTGGCAGAGCACATGGTCCTAAGTGCTGTTACAAACGGCTTCACATCAAGTTACGATAAACCAGTATAAACTGAACGTCAAATGTATGGAAAGATTGTACAAAGTGAGACCACGAAAAACTGGATTTGTATACGTCGATGCGTAGTAGTACTGTACTTAATGTAGCTTTTTATCATAGCTGCTAACTAATGAGCTATGTGCACTTCGTAGAATACTTGGCTGGATCCATTGCTGGAATATTTCAATGGAGATGTAGTTGAAATTTTGTTTAAGAATGTTATTGAATATGTATTGTGAATAGAATTGTATTGTGACCTTGATTGAAAAAGAGTAACCTATGGAGTTTCTTGCTCGTTCTTCTCCATAGGAATCTACTACTTGGAATGAGCAAATAGCTTCACTTTTATTTTTTTTGTTGACGTTCAAAAGTGCCTTTCTGGTCTAATTGAAATAAATAATTTTGACTTTGACTTTAAAAAATAATTAAATACATTAAATTTTGTTTAACAGTAATTACAGAAGTGTACATTTTTACCTAGTAAGTAGAGTGAGTTTTCATAACGCTAAATGCAAGTGCTTATAGAAAACTTTAGAAAGAAATTTGTTCCAAAAATTCCTTCAAAATAGATAACTCAAATTGAGTACGCAAATATTTTAAGTGTGGGAGAGCCATGCTTCGGCACGATTGGGCCGGCTCGACTGGAGTGATACTACGGCCCCACAGAAAACCGACGTGAAACAACGCTTGCGTTGTGTTTCGTCGTGTGAGTGAGGTTACCGGAGGCCCAATTACCCCCCTCCCTAGTCCCCGTCTCCCGAATCCCTGAATCCTCCACAATCCTCAAATTCCCAACTCCCAAAAGGCTGGTAACGCACTTGTAACGCCTTGGTGTTTCGAGTGTCCATGGGCGTCGCCGATTGCTTAACTGCTTGTTTACCGGCTTATACTATAAAAAAAAATAATAACTACGAAAATAAAGTTTGAAAATATTCTGTCGATTCAACAAAGAACTGCGATCAACACATTTAGCAATCGCATTTACACTTCCAGTTTTACTCTATTTTTATTCATCCTACACATTTCTGCGTTTGCAATCGAGTTGCAATCGCCTTACAGCTGCACTTAGCTTATGAAACTCCTTAACTCGTCGAGTACCGGTTTTATAGACACAATTAAAGAACAATAGGTCGCGGTCACCGGTGACCGCTTGGTGTTTGACAGATTAATGCTAAAATGAAAATGTAATTTTCTGATAAGTAATAGTACTTATCTACTTCGTTATGCGGTAACACACTCGGGTATTCGAGTCCAGTGCTCTCTAATGCCTGGACACGTCTCTACTACACTTGAAAAAATTATGTTAATGAAACAAAAGTACTTGGACTTTCATAAACTGGTGTATGAGAGTTTTTGTTAGAAAAATGTGGATAATGGTCCTCTGTTTTGAGAATAATATTTAAATTTTGTTATGATTTTTAAGAAGCTTGTTATTCTTGTTACAGTTATACACATTGAAGTTAAGATTAGGGAAGGTCTGTAATTTCTCAACGTCTTTACTTTTTTTTAGGGGGGAAAATCATCGAAGGACTGCTCTCGCCTGGGTGAGGCGGGAGGGAGATTCTTACTGACTAAAAACCATCCCGTTCCTTCTCGTACGCTGGACGTCGACCCGGAGCCCCGGTTACCCGTTAGGTTCTCCGCGACTCCGAATCGGCATCGGCCTTGTTGGGCCCCATCTGTGGTGGTCTGATGGCTCTTTGAGGCGCGCGCGGAACGCGACGCACCGTACGCTCGGGTCTGTTTCTGGTCGGACGGGGAGCCACCCATGCTCGCCGTCTGCGGGCCCGCGCTTATGGTGGCCGGAGTACATCCCGCGATCCCCGACGCCCGGTGTGTCCTTCGCTATGGCTGGATTGCGAGGAGGCGGCGCTTCGCTGCCTCACGCGTCCCGCCTTCTCCTTAGCTAGCATTTTCTCAACGTCTAGATACCTATATCATCATCGATAGTACTTTAGAGAATTGTCATTTTATAAGATTGTTATAAGTCAGATATCTACTGCAAAAAATGAGTGGAAGCATCAAATCGTATTTTCTTGGTATCTTCTTCTTTATTGGTATCGGTAAAATGTTTTGAAAAGCTAGGGTCTATAAATAATACAAGGCGGCCATTTTTGGTGAGCGGTTGAAAAATAGTTACCTAGAGTTATAAATAAAGTAACATAAAATTCAGTTTTATTAAAAATTCATGGCTAGGTATGGTTTTGCATTGATACCGTATGATAGATTAAATATAAATACCGTTATGATTCAACCAATCCGCTTAGTTTCGAATACAATAGTTACAATTTTCATTCAGAACCCAAAATTGATTCACTGAAACATAATACAATGGGATTGGATTTAATTCAATATTTTTTTTATTGTTTGTTTTTATTCATTGTTTGTTTTGAATATTTTGTCGTATTGGTTGCGGGTATGACTGCATAGTTACGCGATGCTATATATGTGAGGGTAAATCGGTTCAGATTTTTAAATTAGTTAATCAGTATCTACTGCTAACTGCAAGTACTCTCACTCAAGTATTCTAAGATTATCTAGACATCGCTGACAAACGGTGAAGGAAAGCATCGTGAGGAAACCTGGGCTTATAATTTCTAATTATAAGTTTAAATCGTCAACCTGCATTGAGCAAGCGTGGTGATAAATATGCTCAAACCTTCTCCGTGTGAGAAGAGTCCTTTGCTCAGCAGTGTCCATTTATTGGCTGTTGATGATGATGATGATAATGAGGATCTTATCGGATAATTTGCAACCAACTTGTACGTCAAAAACAAAAAAGTGGAGGTTTTTGATACTTGTCTATCTACTTTTAAAAGAAGATTACCATTATGTAATAGTCACATAATGGTAATCTTCTTTTAAAAAATATGATTTAATATGGCTGATGCCGATACGGAGCCGCGGAGAACGTAAAAGGTTACCGTGGCTGTACCGGCTTGAAGTGTGTGAAGGTGCGTGATGGTTTTTAGTCAGTAAGAGTCTAACATTCCCTCCCACCTCACCCAGGCGGGTGAAGACATTCTATAATTTTCCCCCCCGAAAAACGTATGACTGTTAAACTCACTACCGCCATCTAATGTTGACAAAATCACACGTGAAACTTCGGGAACATCTAATTTAGACCGACTAACACATGCTTTGAAAGCAATTGCGGCTAACTCCCGTTCAGTTTGAAACGGCTAGTCTATACTGGCCACAAAATGGCAGTATGGCTATTAGGTAGCTCTGTGACAAACCTATCCGTTTAGCGGTTATTGCTAATGTCCATAATAGAGACGCCATGATGGTATTCCGTGTTTTATAAAAAGTGGTTCATGTTGATAGGGTTTTAGCTAAGTATGGTATGTGTTATATAGTAATTGAGTACTGAGAATAATGGCTTCTGTCATTCTATGTAAGTAAGAGGGTCATTAGGGACTCGGGTGATGATAGTTTGTTATATCAATTATAATCGTATCGATTAAATTACTATTTGCAACCCATTAATTACTTGGTAACCTTATATCTCATATAGGTAAACTTACAAAGATAACTACTGGAATTATACGTAGGTATAATTACATTCGTATGATATGTAAATCAAATTTAAGAAAAAATAATGACTCACCGTTGCACCATTCCTCAAAATGCAGTAACAATCAAACATAGGAACATATGGCTATAAAATATGCTTTATAAAACGAAACGTAAATAAAACATCGTTTCGGCGACACGAGTGAGAAATAAGCAATAAATCCTATAGTCGAATGATGTATGGCGTCGTATTTATTTGGAAAACTTAGCTGCCATAAATCACCATAGACATGAGATTTTTATACAACCTTCTTTGATTCTTTTTATTGACAATTGGCAGAATTATTTATTTACAATCAATTTGAATGTTTGAATTTTGAACGCTTTAGAGAATTAAATTAAAGGAGGCGAACAATAAAAAAGTATTTCATTAAAAAAATATTTGTTTTAGTAATATTTTCGTAAATGGAATAATGTCTTTCATAGTACCAATTTTCCGCCAGCACGTTGCGACATGGCGCCTAAAAATATATTGTGCGCCATTATCCACTTCAATTTTTGTAAAGTGCTTTTCCAGTCAACTAAACTAGAGGCCCAGTAATGCTACATGAGTGGACAGAACATTTAATATTTTTGTAAACCTATTTTTATAACTGTCAACATTATCTTTTTATTTTAATTATTGGCTACGACTCAATGTCTATAATATGTTGGGAAAGGATATAAGAGTGTGTAAAATAAGATTCTAACTCCTATTGACAGTTTTTATGTAATTTATTATTTTAATTAATAAAAAGAATTGTTGTGGATACCATACCGTTACAAACTAAAATTTTAATGAATAATTTTTTATTTAGGTGCATAAGTTTATCCATGACAAATATGTTCATCTTCAAAGTCAAAGTCAAAGTCGAAGCATTTATTTGAATTAAACCATAACTTGGTACTTTTGAAACGTCAACAAATACAAAATAAATAATAGTCTGTGCGTCAGTGAGTGAAGCTAGGTGAAGCACCTAGCTCATTGCAAAATGTAGATTCGAATGGAAAAGGACGAGTGAGAAACTCCATTCGTTACTATTTTTAAAGAAAAGTATATTACAATGTATACATACACATACATACACATATTGGTTACGTTGATACGCCTTGGTTTTATGACTGTAATGTTATACTATTTAATTGGAATAAATAAATATTCCAACATTGTACGTATATGTGAGAACAGTGCAAAGACACGCTTGACGCATTTTTAGGTATTTTGTTTGATAAAAACTGTCAAAGATTAAGTATTGAACGCTGTAATACCTTTCATTAAAAACAGTCATAACTCTCTAAACATTGAATAATATTACCAGGTTTATAGCAAAGGCGTTTTAAAGCTAACACGATCAAAGCGTTTCTCTTTTGTTTTTAATATCCAGTTTCGATGCTTATTTACACGGACGCGCGTGGTTTTTAATTAATTTCGTTTCCCGCTAAAATATTTCCCTCGCTTTTACAAAAAAATGGCGGACGACGTTCGGGTGTGAATTTTAAATTTGTGTTTTAATATGGTCAATGTTATTTTGTTTACGTGATTATGAAATATAATGTTTACCATGGGACATTTTTGTACGGAATTAGTAATATTCCCGTTGGACGGGTTATATATTTTTTATGAATGTGTTCAGTTACACGTGTTGCGAGCAGAATTTAAGATTTATTTAGTACATTTTTCATCTGTACTAATTCAGGCGTTAATACTTTAGCAAACGTCTTTTATGTTCGGACAAGCCCGCCACAACCTCCAAAAACCGCAGCAACTTCTGTAAGCAGAATTTACAGTAGATAAAACTATGAAAACACCGGAACACGGTGCATCACAGGGACATTAATAAATTGTCTTGGTTCTTGCAGCGAAATACATCAGAAGATATTAAAAAAAAAAAACTGTATTGACTGCCTCTTTGTCGTGGTCGCAAGTGCGACTGCCGGGCAAGGGGTCTCGGGTTCGATTCCCAGGTCGGGCAAAGTATTACTGGTTTTTTTTTTAATCTCAGGAGTAGCACGGAGTCTGGAATTGTGCCCGGTATATGACAATAGGCTCACCCCCTATTACACGGGACTCATAACATAAATAGTGAAAAGTGGGTGTTACATTGTACCTCTACAGTGGTATAATGTGCCTACCCCTTCGGGGATAAAAGGTGTGATGTTATGTTATGTTATATTAAAAAAAGAGAAGATATAAACGATAGTTTCCACTTCCCTCGGTGAATTACTGCAGGAGACTGAATGGATTAAGCCTAAAGGCACAAAGAGACTGCACGACTCGGAGAAGTCCAGTCGCCAAGCACCACGGAAATTTGACTAAAACTTAACGGGTCCTATGTGTGAGCTGTTATACTTGCTTCCAATATAATATTCCGTAGGTACAATTAGGCGTTTTTTCCATATATAGATATAATTTGTTCTAGACTCCATAAGGTTCATATAATACACGTCTTTATTATCTTGTCCCCAGTTGCAAGTAAGTATACATACCTACATTTGCAGAGCTTTATGTAACACTCAAATTACCATATTCTAAGTAGTTCCAAACATATTACTGTGGGATTAATATAGATTACTAATACTTACTTTACATGCGACAACACGCGACCAAATTGCCTAACGACATGGCTTTGTTATTCCCTAAAGGGTTTAGAAGATACTCGTAGTATGGAGTCTGTAATTGCGCCCAGTATTGTAATAGATTCATCCCCTATAACTTGAGATAACGTGTTTCGTCAAAGATGTGTGAAACAACACGTGAAAACATGTTTTTTTTATGGAGGCAGAAATTGTAAAACGCCTCCTGCTACCTTTTTTTTCAAGGGGAGCAAATCATCGAATGATTTCTCCCGCCTGGGTGAGGGAGGAAGGGAATGTCTTACTGACTAAAAATCACTTCGTTCCTACTCCTGCACTTCGAACTGGAGCCCCAGTAACCTATCACATTTTCCGCGGCTCCGTATCGGCATTAGTCCTATTAGACCTGCTATTGAATTAATTTTGCTATTGATATCACTTATTATATGTGGATCTTTAGCTTACTTTTCCGGGGAGTGGACATAGAAGGCTTGATGTTATGTTATTCATTGAAATTAACGGATCTAAACTGGCCTACTGCCTATCCCTTCCTAGAAATACAGAGTTAATGTTATGTAATGTTAAATCTCTAGAGATATGAAGTTATAAAAAGGGTTTCTATTTTCATCTGTGTGTATTTTTGTACTTACTTTTTGAGGGAAAAAAAATAATAACTTACTTATTCCCAACAGAGCTTGATCTGTGAAGAAGGTACTTTGTAGTTAGGTTTTCAGTTATTTTAGTATGAACTATACTTTAAAATATCCCATTTCATTAAGTATCATGTTTTTTGGTTTACTCAAGTAGGTAATCGTTTGACGAGGTCATGAATATGAGGCTCTAGTATGGCTCGAAACTAGTCGAGTTCCTAATCAAACAAATACGTGAGTAAGCAGATAAACATAATAATTAATTTAACACGAAAGTTATAATAATTAAATCCCGTTTCAGATTAAGTTGCTGAACTCAAGTGAAAACATTTGGCAACCAATATATTTTTATGAACTACCCATACATTACAAAATGTACTCTCGTAATATTTCACCACTATTTTGTCCAGCTAGCGACCTTAGGGGCTATGCGTCGTCACTAATTCCCACACTATGTGCCCGGGCACGCAGGCACACATACATACACAATATCGAACATAGTTCGCGAAACTCCTGCTGAATATTAATCTTTTTCATGCCTCAAGTCGGGAGCAAATGCCTTTTGTTGTGTAAAGGCTTTATATTTATCACCATGCAGTAGAAAATATTATCTATGTGCTTACGGCTATTTGAAATAAATTAGTTAGTAAGAATGAATTTCGTTTCAAAAATTTGTTTTTTTTTTTTATTTATGGTCACAACATGTTTCTTAGCTATGGTATGACGTAGGTAGATGGAGTTGTGTTAATTTTTGTTGCATGATAATATTGCACTGTCAAAACGATTTCATGTTATATGCTTATATGTATTTGTGAAAGAACTTGAAGAAAACACTCGATTTATTATATAAATCTTTCAAATAATCTCTACAATATTTGTTTTAATCAACTTATTTACAATCCAATCTGCACACTGCAGACTTGAACTTTTATTTAACAACTCATTCCGCAGGGAAAAAAAGAAAAATGAAGACTGGGCATCTAATCAAAAATAAAACAAACGAGTTAGTTTTTTTTTAATAATATTTCGATGTAGATGTTTATACATAAAAGTGATGAAAAAGTATTTATCAAAATTTGACAGCTATCATTTTTGAATTTAGATTATTGTGGCCAGTGCATAGCATAGAAACAATAAAATGTGTCACTATTTGAATTTGGAATATTGTTTACTCTGTGTTCTGTGGGCGTTGTTAAGAACTAATAAAATGCTACTGTAATACGTATTTACCTACATGGTATAAAAGTGAAGGATTGAAAGGTACACAGGTACACTAAACCAAACCAAACTTAATTATCGTGTTCTGATATTATTCTAAATATTAAAATTCATCAACCATCAACGATCACCTGATGGTAAGCAATTGGCGCCGCCCATGGATACTTGAAACACCAGAGGCGTTACAAGTGCGTTACCGGTCTTTTGAGGATAAGCAATTTGAGGATCATTGGAGATTTGGGGATTGGGTACCGGGAGGTAATTGAGTCTCCGGTAACCTTATTCATATGACGAAACACAACGCAAGTGTATCACGTCGGTTTTCTGTGAGGCCGTGGTGTCACACCGGTTGAGCTAGCCCATTCATACCGAGGCATAGCTCTCCCACATTTAAAAAGTTAATAGGATGTTATTGTTAATAGGATGGTGTTTTGCCACTCTACAACTACATTAAAAGCAACAACATTATAATGTAAACAATCTATTGAAATATCTTATTTTACAGCTTGTAGACACCTAAATGTACAAGCAAGTACTAAATCAACTCGGATTGGGCCAGTTCATTTGTCTACGTGAGGTTTATGTAATTATGTCGACTCTGAATACACTAGCACCGTGTTCTAGATCTATTTACGGAACCTACAATGTACATACATATATGTTCCTATATAGGATTGGATACAATTGGATGTGATTAGATGAAATTCATTACAGGATAGGATAGTATTTGATTTGGGTCAAAATAAATAGGTTTTGTAAACCTTCTTGTGTAGAGAAGGAAGTCCAGCAGTGGGGTGTTCATGATGGGGGTCTTTAAGCTATGTTTTATTTTCATTATGTCCTAAGCAAAAATTGTAACATTTCGAAGTATTTCTTTATGTACATAAGTAGGCAGTATTTTAATTCATGACTTTGATATCTTTTTCCAATAATTGAGTCATCTGGTCGAATTGTTGGATTGTCGTAAATAAGCCAGGATTTATTGAAAGCTTCGTGTTGGGACTAGCTTTGTCATGGACACAGTCGTGTGAATTGAACTATATTTTTTTTTTATAATAATAGTTGTTGGCGAATTGTTTCAAGTTTTCATGATCTGTCATCTGTTGTCCTATTTGCTCTATGAGTCCACGGATTGATGAGTAAAAAATGACTGCACGGTTGGCGCGGTGGCTGGGCAACTGGCTGCCGCGCAACGTGTCGCGAGTTCGATTCCCGCACAGAACAACTGTTTGTGTGATCCACAGATTGTTGTTCTGTCTGGGTCCGGGTCCAAGTCCGGGTCTGGGTGTCATCTGTATGTGAACTTGTGTGTTTGCAACGTTTTTTTTAAAAAAAGTATCATCATTTTTGGATTTTAACTCCTAAATGGCTTGTGTCAGCATGGTCTTGGGAATTGTGAATGTAAGGGTGTGTCCACATCTGGCCAATGGGCCGCGTATGTCCCGCTCGCGAGCCGTTTGCGGGCTGTCCGCTTAGATACAACAAACCGTGTAACATTAACATCACAACCTATAAGAATCCACTACTGAACTATAGGTCTCTTTACATAAGATGTTTTACCATAAACACGATTGACAGGAACATTATACGTACGGGTATTAAAGTGGTTTGATATGATTTAATGAGTTAAAGATCGTTGTCCAAAAAATCAGAGAGCGTCGCTGTACAGTCTCCCTCAAATAGATAAACACATGTAAACAAGTTTCACATGTATCTATATCCTTAATCCTTACTAATATTATAAATCGGAAAGTGAGTTTGTTTGTTTGTTTGTTCCGCTTTCACGCCGTAACTACTAAACCGATTGATTTGAATTTTTGCAGACGTAAAGTTATAAGTCCGGATTAAATAATAGGGTATTTTTTATCATAGAAAAATTTTATAATCCCGAGGGAAAACAAAAGTATTGTATATTGTCACATAGGCTACTTTTTATCCTTTTGTGACGCGAGCGAAGCCGCGGGTAAAAGCTAGTCATGAATAGTTTGTAGTTATACCTTGGGAAGTATCAAGTGTGACGTTAAGTTTAGTTAGTTAATATGAATATTCAGCGAGTTTCAGTAATCCTATCCTCATATTAGTCACCATACTCCGACCTCCTCATAATTCCTAACGTAGCCTAATTAGAACTAGTGTGAGCTTATTTAATTAGGCGTCGCCCATAAATATAGCTCAGTTGACTGTAATTCAGCCTTTAGGCTTGCCCATATTTGTTATATGGTATAAAATATGGTACATAGGCGTGGGTTATTCAATTACGAGTATATTGTGTGAATTGAGTATTAAGACGTGACTTGGAAGTTGGGATTTTTAGGCATTTCTATACATAATATATGAGTTATAAAGTTCTAGTAGCTATGGAATTACTAAAACATGGTAGGTATATAATTTTTAAATATAATGAGAATATTGAGAAGAAAGAAAGAGAGAGAGAGAGAGAGAGAGAGAGAGAGTATTTTTAGGAATAAAAGGAAGAAAGTAAGTTTTTGTGATTAAAATAACAAATACGACTTATTATTGTGCGAAATGAGATATAGTTAAATTACAAGACATAAAATCTCATATATAGTTCATAAATCATACCAGTCGAATAATTTAATATTTTTTTTTATACATCGTTTGACCACTATTCCGCCTGGTGGTAAGCGATAATGCGGTCTACGATGAATCACGTCGTCCCATAAGCAACCTACTCGGGCCTTGAAGACACGCAGGTTATTACCCTTCAGGAAATACAGACTCTATACAAAGTTAAAATATGAACAATGACAAAGTTATAAGGTTGGGATTTGAACAGCATTAATTAGATATGTATACGGCAGCTGTGTTTCTAATTCATTACATGTACTAGACAAGATTACTCTTCTACTAATTACTTTGTAGGGAAAACATATAGTTGGGTACACTTGTAGAAGCTGGTTATGACGCTTGCTTTAGTTTTATTCTTGACTTGTACCTCTAAAGTTACCAAATTTTTTTAGGAAAATATATAGGAATTATAAATATATTTATAATTTCCACGTTTGAAATTTAGATTAGAATTTTTGTTTATTTTTAAAACGTTACCGTTACGAAATAACAATTAGTTAATCACACAAAGAGTTGCTCCGTGCGGGAATCGAACCCGCTACAAGTTGCGCGGCAACCGATTGCCCAAATACCTACTTTAGATGAGCTATTATTGGCCGAGTACTAACTTTGCTTGACTTGGAACACAAAAACCAACAAACTTTGAATTGCTAGAACCAAAAATGGTCCATTTAGATTATAATACTATTAAAAATGAACTTTGAAATCTATGTTTTGTTTTGTATTAGATAGGCCAACGTTTGACCACTATCTCGCCTGGTGGTGTCGCGGAGAACCTAACGGGTAACCGGGGCTCCGGCTCGACGTGCAGGAGAAGGAACGGGGTGGTTTTTAGTCAGTAAGAGACTGACACTCCCTCCCGCCTCGCCCAGGCGGGAGCAGTCATTCGATGATTTTCCCGGCTTAAAAAAAAAATCTCGCCTAGTGGTAAGCGATGATGTGGTCTACGATGGAGCACGTCGTCCCATTTAAAACATTTACTATGTACGTCTAGAAAATAATATAACTATTAAATATTTAAAGCACTCATGTGAGTTCCTTCCTCGTATGTTTAATTTGATTGCTTACATTCGCGACCCGATGCGTTCAGACCTCAGTACATTACTCATACAAAGAGTTCAGTTAATGTTATGTGCAGGGACGCTGATGTGGGTTCCTGTAGCGAACTTAATTACACGTCTTGAACTTACTTATATACCTAAGTATGACGTCACGCTGCAGGTATTAAACCTGAAGGCGCCGGCAGAGGTACAAGTAATACTCACTTTTTTTGAAAATTTGTGGTGACTTCCATATAATAGTCTCTAGCATGAATAGCATAATAAACTACCTTATTGACCGAGTGGTCGCAAGTGCGACTGCTGGTTTAAGGAATCGGGTTAAATTCCTGGGTTGGGCAAAGTATTATTGGGTTTTAAAAAAATCTTAGTAGTAACATGGAGTCTGGAATTGTGCCTGGTATGTGGCAAGAACCTCACCCTCTATTAATTGGGACTTATAACATAAATAGTGAAAAGTGGATGTTACATTGTACACTGGTATTAAGACCTGTAGTGTACCTCTGCGTACCCCTTCGGCGATAAAAGGCGTGATGTTATGTTGTGTTCCATGTAATAAGCATAGCAAATAAGCCAATAGGTATATGGTAATAATTATTACCTATAACGAATCTCAATCCCACCGAAACACCAATCAAAAGCAGTGTAAGTCTGCTTATTTGACCTCTATCACACAGATTGGTTGTGGTGGCCCGGAGGTTTAAGACGCCCGCTTCTCATGCATGAGGGTGCGGGTTCGAAACCTCCAAAGACTTGTCGTAAAGTTTTCAGGGTTATATGTACTTTTTAATATTATCTACAACACCACTGACAAACGGTGAAGGAAAACATCACCTGGGCTTATAATTTCTAATTATAAGTTTGTAATCGCCAACCCGCATTGAGCAAGCGTGGTGATTAATACTAAAACCTTCTCCGTGTGAGAAGAGGCTTTACTCAGCAGTGTGCATTTATTGGCTGTTGATGATGATGACACAAAAAAGGTTTATGTGAAAATTTGGATTGTTTACAAACGATTATATCAAAAGCATTACTATCGGTATTGTTTATAAATTCCATCTGCATCAACTATAATGCAACGATTTTGTTACAGGCACTCATACCCGCAACGAATGAGTGGTTCCATAATGACGCTCGTTGGTCGTCAAAAAACCAACACATTATACATTAATGCAAGCTCCATAAAATCCGTTAATCGGTTAATTCTTTATTGTTATTGCAAATTATACACCTAGTGAGCAGATTGGCGATATATTAAAGAAGGGCCATTTTAAAAGTACCCTTAACCGACGAGCATGCATGAAAATATTGATGACTGTAGATGAAGCGAAAGAGGTATGTAGGAATCGTAGTAATTGGCGTTCCATAGTCTCCGCCTACCATTGGAGACAGGCGTGAAGTTATGTATTATTGCAAATTAAAATGACTGCCTCGTTGGCCGAGTGGTCGCAAGAGCGACTGCCGCGCAAGGGGTCTCGGGTTCGATTCCCGGGTCGGGCAAAGTATTACTAGGTTTTTAAAAAATTCTCAGTAGTAGCATGGAGTCTGGAATTGTGCCCGGTATATGACAATAGGCTCACTCTATTACATGGCACTCATAACATAAATAGTGAAAAGTGGGTGTTACATTGTACAGGGGCATAATGTGCACCTCTGCCTACCCCTTCGGGGATGAAAGGCGTGAAGTCATGTTATGTAAAATGTGCTGTAAAACATAAAAAAACCCAAAG